GATGAGGGGAGGAGGAGATGGGAGTTGGATGAGAGGGAGCAGGATGACGACACTGACGAAAGGGATACGGTGGTGAGGAGGGGTGGGTAAGGGGTGGTAAAGAGGGTGAAGAGGGGGTGGGAGACGGCCAACGGCGTGAAATATTGCCTTCACGATTCAGGACAGCTATACGACATCTTTTCCGAAGGGCATGGAATATCCTGTCGAGCGACACCTACGTTTTTTCATTTTTTTTTCTTTTTTTTTCATCACGCGACTCAAAGTGACACTTTTGATTCGAGGCTTTTGGTTCGCACGCGATCCACTCGATGGCCTGCTGAACTCCTCTCGTTATCGATGCACTTTTTATTTTTAATGTCTGACATTTAATAAGCTAATGAGACGGCCGAACGTAGCTGCTATGAATGTTAGGTTAGGTCGTTAAAGATCGTGACATGAAAAACTGGACCAAATGACTTCATTAGAACCGTATCGATTTCGGCTCGTAAAACCAATTTAATATCAATCTCGTCGTCTTGTTACTGCCATGTGAATAAAGGCGACTATACACCGATCGCAATGGATTGTTATGAACGAACCTAACCCAACAACCTAACCTTACCAGCGCGACCGTGTATCCGAACGTCGTATAAAAGTGTTGTAAGCCACGAGTATAATTACCGTTTTGATGTGAATTTCGGCGCCTGAAACTTTCCTACGTGTAAATTCACTGTCACGGGTTATCAATGACACGCCACGTGGACGCAGACAGACGCCGCAGAGTCGTTGAAACGGATTTACATGTCGTAACTGTACGATCGGGTTACTACGGTAGATAAGTCCAGGACTCGAGCTCAGAGCCATGACTGGTAATATCGTAACATTTTTATTTCCCGTTGAATTAAAACCTCATAATGGTATAATAGGTGGTTAATTAAGATTCACTCTCGATATAGACATTGAAAAAAAAATTCTGACACGGACAGCAGATAATCCTCTTACATGGAATATTCTTAATAACCATGACAAAAAAATTTCAAGCTTATATCCAAAAATTATATGGGATGTCACTTTAATTTTTTTTTTTTGAGACTTTTCGGAAACACTAAGATTCGTATCGATTATCCAGTTGGTCCCATTTGGTTTCTTAAGTACAAAGAGGAAATAGTGAAAGGGAAAATAAAATTGGGACACGTTCGGTGACGGCTATCCCGTCGGCTATCACAATATTGTGAAGAAGCGCCTCTGGCGGGAGATCGTGGAGACGGACGAGCGTAATTATCATGACAACGCGAGTATTTGGAGTTCAGGCCCTATCGGCGGTGCGCGATGCTCCATGGGGCATTATGGGACATGACTGTCGTACAAGCAGCCCGTTTAGGGAGTGTTATTGTCATGTTAATGGCGACAATGCCAATCCCATTACTAGGGTTACATCAGCATGAAAATTTGGTATGTCCCGTATAGGTCCCTTTCTTACCGACGATCATCTATCGGCCGTATCCTCTTTGCAGGTGAGGTCAACTTTTTCTTTTTTTCGTCTGCTCTTCTCACTTTTCACCTTTCTATTATTATTGTGGTGTTGCATCCCTTATAGGGATCCTGTTGCCTGTACCTAACCCTATTTTACCTCGTGCCTTTATGGGGTTGTGTAATATGCTGGTAGGGTTACGTTGGTATGCCTATCATTTATATATGGTGTTAACCCCAATGGCGAACCGGTTCTCTTCCTTGGTTCTTGTACGGGGCTAAATGTCAACAACGGCATAACGGCCCGGTTAGAGGATTACCCCTTTGCTGTAGGGTAGGTACCAGACAAAAGGTCGTGAACTTTCTACGTGTCATAATCTGTCTGAGAGGGTTTCCAGGTCTCGAAGAATATCGGCGCGTCACGATCTTCTTCGTAATTGTCGCATTTAACGGACCCTTTACTCCCTTTTCTTTTTTTATTACTTTTTTTTTCTAATTCGGAGGATACGCTTACGTTGGAATTTGTTATGCGTCCCTTCACACGCTACCGTCCCTTAGTTGTGACATTCAATTATTCAATGGTACAGATCTTAAAGAAGATATGCACTTTACTTTTTTATTGACTTACTCTTATCGACGTTTAAATATTTTATTTTTTCGAGTTAACACGTGCTTAGCGTTGTCAAGGAAGCTAGATTTTGATCGGACTTTGGATTCTTCGATAGGGTTGTATTTTTTTTTTTAATTTTTAGAAAATTTTTCCAATGCGATTCTCAAGGGTGCGGTTTTATACAATGGGGGTGAGAACCACTGTGACGTGTTAAATCCCCCGGATAAGGGGTTGCGTGCAAACATTGAGTTGGGGATTAGTGAAAACTCGCTTTTCACCCGTTAGAAAGTGGTTACGTGCTGA